CCTGGTCTCGAACCGCGTGCTGGTTCATTGTCCGACGTGCCACATGGCACCACGTAGGCACTGCGAAAGGAGGGCAAGGGAAGGGGGTGATCGTGCCACGTGGCATGCAGGGACGAAGTTCGGTGTAAGGGAGCGGATAAGGAGGCGAGAGGGAGCCCCGCGGAAAGTACTGGGTTCGTCTTGCCACGTGGATTGCATCGCGGGATCAAGCAGGAGGAGCAGGAGCGACAGCAGTAGCTGCACAAGAAGAAGAAGGCGAGGAGGAGGAGGAGGGAGGAAGGAGTGGAGATGAGGGCAGGTGTGGGTGGGTGACCTGTGAGGCAAGCTGGGATCGGGGGAGGAGACGGGTCGCATCGAACCACAAGTCGGGCATGTTTAGAATCGGAGTTGGGATGTGGCGACAAGAAGAAGAAGGAGAGGATGAGGAAGAAGAAGGAGAGCAAGGAGAGAAAGACGAGGGAGAAGAAGAAGAAGCAGAGGACGAAGAAGAAGAAGAAGAAGAAGAAGAAGACGAAGAAGAATAGTGGAAACAGTGGCCAACTGCCTTTCGTACACGCATCGAAAGCCCATTTCAATACAAAGCCGCGCATACTCGTCTCAGCTCACGCGCACAATCCCCGACGCGTTTCGATCGGTTGCGCTCCGATCATCCGCAGGGGGCTTTCCACATAACCCTCGCCTTGCGGCCCGCCGACAAACCTCCCTACCTTCTGAGAACTGAGGGCCGATCAGGCCTTGCCTTCCTATATGCTGTACGCCAAGTAGAACGCTTCGCCAGCACGGTACTCACTCACCTAACGGGCACTTCCACCAAAAAGAACAAGGAGAGGAGGAGGAAGAAGACGAAGAAGGGAAAGAAGAGAAGAAAAAGATATAGGAAGTGCGAGAGCGAGGAGAGTGAGTCTTGTCTTGCGACCTGGCAGATCCGTTAGGATCGGACGGCGTCGAAGAAGGGTTTCCACGTGGCACGTTTGTCGGAATCAGAGTTCATAAAATGCTCGGTGAGCGCACTTGGCTGGCAAGCCGGGATGGGAGTGGTGTGGGTGCCTACAGGATTTTGAAGAAGAAGAAGAAGAAGAAGAAGAAGAAGACGAAGAAGACGAAGAAGAAGAAGAAGAAGAAGAAGAAGAAGACGAAGAAGACGACGGCGACGAAGAAGAAGAAGAAGAGACGACGACGACGACGACGACGACGAAGAAGAAGAAGAAGAAGAAGAAGAAGAAGAAGGGAGGGTCCTCGCTCACGCAAGCCGGAAGCCTTAGTTAGGGCAGCAGTGGGGATAGCCTAGAGGTTCGTCGCAGCTCTTGGCCGCATGTCGGAATCGCAGTTAAGGCACGCACGTGGCACAGATGGTGCGCACATTGAGGTACGCGGAGTGGAGTCGGGGAAGAGGCTAGGAGAAGGCTGAGTAGAAGGAGGAGGAAGAGACGAATGGGGAAAAAGAACCAGGAGCTAGTGCCAGGTAGGCGGAAGTGGGTGTGGAGGGGGTTGCCTCCCACCACGTAGCACGCGTTCATGATGGCAGATGGCGGACACGTCGGGATCGGAACGGAATGGGATCGAAAAGATGCTGAAGAGGATGATGAAGGTCAACCAAGACGGAGAAGAAGAAAGAAAGCAAGAAGGGCGAGGAGAGGAGGAGGAGGAGGAGGAGGAGGAGGAGGAGGAGGAGGAGGGAGAAGGGAAAAGGGGGTATGAGATAGAAGGGTCCCGTTGTGCGGCGTGACAGGCCCCCCCCCTCAGGAGGGTGGGGAAGGGGAGAGGGGGCCACGGGGGGACGGAAACGAGCAGAGGTAAGAGGTGAAAGGGTTTCGCAGTGCGACGTGGCAGACCCGGAGGACGTGAGGGAGCAGTCAAGAAGAGGAGGAAAAGAGCGGGAACGGCAGAGGAATACCAAGAGAAGGGGGGCAAGGACGAGGAGGAGAGGAAGAAAGATGAGAGGAGGAAGGAGGAAAAGAAATGGGAGGTAAGGCGGCCAAGGATTTCATAGTATGACGGTCGAGGCTAGAAGAGGTTTCATTAAGCCACGTGGCTTGCATAGTGCGTTACGTGTCAGGATGGATAGAGTACGTGTCAGGATGGATAGAGTACATGTCAGGATGGATAGAGTACGTGTCAAGATGGATAGAGTGCAAAATTCATTCGAGAAGGAAGGAGAAAAAGGAGAAGAAGAAGAAGGAGAAGAAGGAGAAGAAGAAGGAGAAGAAGAAGGAGAAGAAGGAGAAGGAGAAGAAGAAGAGAAGAAGATTGGCCGAGTAGTGGGATTTTCTAGTGGAAGAGGATTAAGATAGGCGTAGTAGGATGAGTACTAGTGGAAGAAGAAGAAGAAGAAGGAGGAGAAATTGAAGGAGAAGGAGAAAAAGGAGGAGGAGAAGAGAAGAAGAAGAAGATAGGCGGAGTAGTGGGATTTTCTAGTGGAAGGGGAATTAGATAGGCATAGTAGGATGAGTACTAGTGGAAGAAGAAGAAGGATAAGAATTGCATTTTTCGTCCATGATTCGATCTCAAGAATCCGAGAGGCGACCTCCCTCATGGGAGTTGCACGCTCAACCAAACGGCTTAAGCGGACTGGGGTGAAAGTTAAGGCCCGATATTGGTATTTAACGCCACCCCAGCACGGTTTTCCGCGTCCCGGTGTACCCAGTCACACTCACACCTGACCCGCCCGACCACACAGGCCTGTCGACGAAGCCACCAGTCTAATGTGTCTCCTCGTTGCCGGTTACTGCGCTAAGCAAGAATTGCAAGAAGAAGAAGAAGAAGAAGAAGAAGAAGAAGAAGAATATAGGCGTAGTAGTAAAATTTTCTAGTGGAAGAGGAAGAAGATAGGCGCACTAGTAGGATTAGTACTACTACTGGTAGTAACGGCAGTAGTAGAAGCAGGAGAAGAAGAAGAAGAAGAATATAGGCGTAGTAGTAAAATTTTCTAGTGGAAGAGGAAGAAGATAGGCGCACTAGTAGGATTAGTACTAGTGGTAGTAGTAGTAGTAGTAGTAGTAGTAGCTACTACTACTACTACTACTACTAGTAGCGGCAGTAGTAAAAGCAGCAGGAGAAGAAGAAGAAGAACAAGAAGATAGGCGTAATAGTAGGATTTTCTTGTGGAAGAGGAAGAAAATAGGCGTGGTAGTAGTAGTAGTAGTAGTAGTAGTAGTTGTGGTAATAGTGGTAGTAGTAGTGAGCAAAAGGCTGTCGCGTCCTTTGAAAGCGACGTGAGGATGGAAGTAGGAGAGTAGAAGGGGGCGACGGATCGGATTGTTTTCTTCCCTTCCCGCCTTCCGCGCAACTCCTTAACCTCGGGGAAAATATATTCTGTCTTTTTCGTTTCCTCGTTAGTAAAAGTGGTAGCTAATCAACGGTAATTGATCAATCAATGAATAATTAATGAAGAAAATTGATGATCATCATCATATAATGAAGTTAATCAATGAATGTGCAGAAAGCAACCCCCCCCCCCCCCCCCCCCCCCCCGGGGAATCGATCCGTCCGTTGATTTGAGTGATGGATGATGGAGCGAGTGATCCAGGGCGGGAACAGCAGCTCAACGTGACACGCAGGCAGGGTAAACAACGAATAATCCGTCGATCAGGCAGGTAATCATCGGAATTATTCCAATCCAATCCAGTCAATCGTATGGCCAATTAGTCTGTTAGCTAATCAACCAATCTCAACTAATCAAGGCATTTATCTTCTGCGTGCCTGCATATCATATCGCACTCCTCCGCACTCCCCCCGTCCTTTCCCCCCCTTCCCCCCCCCCCCCCGCCCCACCGATCCCTCGACATTTGCTGTTTCCGCGCTGCGGAAAGTACTTGGCGAAATCCCGTCCAGATTCGTCCCCCATTCGCTCATCGGTCATCGTGGATTAATTAATCAGTCAATTTATCCGCATGTTTTCTGATTTTTATCATCTCATAAATCTCATAAATCCTTGTGAAATTACGGTGGATCTCCCCAGTCGCGCTCATCATGGCCGAAAATTATCGTCAGTCAGTCGGTCGATCAATCAATCAATCAATCAATCAAATAATCAATCAATCAAATTAACAGCTTATATCCGCATAAAATTTATTGTTGAAGTGCACAACTATGGTTCGTCTCGCCGGGCGTCCATCATGGACGAATTAATCGGTCCGTCACTCCAGCAGTCGATCACTCCATCAATCCACGTGGCAATGAGTCAATCAGTCTGTGACATTATATCCGCGCATAAAATTACGGTGGATATACTGCGAATAAAAGCAGGTGTGATCCAAAAAAAAAAAAAAAAAAAAAAAAGCAGGTGTGATCTTCAACGTTTTTAGTCAGTTCTTGCGTTTTTGGCGGTGATATGAGCATCCCCCCCTACAACCGGCTTCCCCGGAACACAACGCACCCTGGTAACGAGTGTACACAAGCCAGATTTCCGGTCAGGTACTGCCAAAATGAGGGTGCGTTGTGTTCGGCGGAAGACGGTAGGGTACCCCAGGCTAGTCCATCTATTGATGGGGCGCTGCACCAGCCGGAAAACGGGTCCAGCGTCCCATTGAATGCATCAATTGGGGTGATAGTTTATGAATGAACGAGGATATGATGATGAACCACCTGTGCCTCTTCTGAAGTCCAGTTTGTCGTTTTTTTTTGTTTTTTTTTTTCCCTTTTCTAAGTCGAGTTTGTTGTTTTTTATTTTTTTTATTTGAAGGTGGAGGAATCAGCCCTAGCGTCGCGGCAAGGAAGAGGTACAGGGGAGGCATGGATGGGGCGCGCAGATCCTAGAGACCGCTGAAGTGCACAGGATAATCCGAGGATTGTTTTTTTTGTGGTAATAATATTGAGGAGGAGGAGGAGGAGGAGGAGGACGGGGCTCCAACAGAGTGAGAAATTGTAGGGAAAGTGGGAGAGAGGAGCGGAGGGGAGCGGAGGGGAGGGGAGGGGAGGGGAGGGTAGAGAGGGGGGGAAGGTTTGTGAGGGAAGAGCGCGGAGGGGCGGGAAAGTTTTTGGATACGGGGCTCCGATAGAGTGAGAAATTCCAATTCTATCCCTCCGCGCTCTTCCCTCCCAAACCACCCCTCCGCCCGCGCTCTTCCCTCCCAAACCATCCCTCCCCCCGCGCTCTTCCCTCCTCGCAAACCACCCCTCCCTCCGCGCTCTTCCCTCCCAAACCACCCCTACCCCCGCGCTCTTCCCTCCCAAACCACCCCTACCCCCGCGCTCTTGCTAAAGGGGTAAAAGATGAATTGCTGTGGAGAGTGGAAAGAGGGGAAAGGGAAGGACCAGGGCGATCGGAGAGGACACGTGGCTGATTGGGGGGGAGGTTTTGGGATGGTGTCGGAGGATAATACTAGTAATGTGGGGATAAGAAGAGTGGGTGAGGTGGGAGGGATGGATGATCCACGTGTCATAGCGAAGAAGCTGCAGGCGGGTCCCGATCTTGCGCCAGGTGTGGCGGTGGTAGCAGGTCCGGATCGCGACGGCGCGCGGGGGGCCGCTGGATGTCAGGGGCTTCTGGCAACGGACACGTCATCAGCGCTACCTCAGATCTGTAACGACGGTCTCCGCGTTGATGACAATCATGATGGCGGCTATCCTGATGAGAATGAGGATGACAGTGGGGGGGGAGCCTTCCTGAAGGCGGCGGCGGCGCAATGCGCAAGCGGGGGAGACGCTGACATGGCAAGAAGTGACGAGTCTGAAGGGACGGCGGGAATGGAAAAAGGGGAAGAGATGGACAAGGAGAATAGGGAAGTGGAGAAGATCAGCATCCCCCCCTCGGAGGAGATGGCCAGACCCCCGATGTCATCGACGGTCTCGATATCCCCCCTTGCGGAAACCCCCGCGGGCGCGAACGTAGCGGACGGCGGCTTTCGGGGATTCGATCTCGCGCGACCCGTACGGCAGTCATTCTCTCAGGCGAGCGGAGTGGACGCGGATCTTCTCTTAGCGCGTGTGCTGCAGGAGCAGGTGAGCGCCCAATCGGGGGTTCGTTTTTTATGTGACAATACAGTATGTGTGTATATATATATGTATGTATGTAATATACAGCCTCCTGATGAGTCGGTCGGTGAAACTCCGACGAGACAGTTTGTCACAGCGCGTTGTTTGGTGTCCTCTTCTCCCTTTCTCCCTCTCTGCTTACGGTTTTCCGGGCAGCTCTGGTTGACTACATATATATGCGCTCTGATATTTTTGTGACAATATATATACCACGATACCACGACTTCGCTAGCACCCTGCTACGGTTTTCTCCGGTCAGCGGCAGTAGTCGGGGCCGTCACTACGCGGCCATGCTGTGCCTCTACTGCCAGCTGCGTGTCTGGAGTGTATATTTTGGCTGTGACAGACCTTCCTTCGTTTCGTGGGTGTTTTGCTGGCTTGTGATGGGGTGTGAACCGACCGACAGTCTGTAGAGTTTTCCTTCTGGTGGGGGTGAGTGATAGTCTGCTTTGATTTTCGTCACAGGTACCTGACCTTGAGGGCAGTGGTTGGTGGTCCCCACCACCTCAGAGGTGTATCAGTTGTCGGGCAGTCGTTGATGCTTAACCACAGCCGGGGTTAAGGTGGATTATCACTTACAGTGTAATCAGTTATTAGGGGATTCTGCAGACTGTCGAGGGTTCAGCCTCCTGACGAGTCAGTTGGTGAAACTCCGACGAAACAGTCTGCCATAGCCCCTCGTTTTGTTGTCCTCTTCTCCTTCTCCCTCCCTCTCTGCCTACGGTTTACCGGGCAGATCTGTTTGACGATATGTGACAAATTGTTTCTGTCGGAGATGGAGAATATATGACGATATATATATACATGTATTTATATATTTTATATAATACATAATTGTATGTGACGATAGATAAACAAAATTATTTTTATGTAACATTAGCTATAACATGGATGGATCGGCATGGCGAGTCGGCGAGTCCTCTGCAGAGCGATTATAAATGCATTTTTTTTTGGCGTATATTTGTTATATATTTGGGCGTCGCATATTTTCCTTTCATTTTGGAATTGTTCTTTACGCAAGTGTCGTCTCCTTGCGTTTCTCTTTTTTTTTTTTTTGTCTTAAAAACAGATTAGTACCGCGGTTGATTGTTGCAGACGTGGCCTCTAATCGAGTGGCAAGAACTGAATATTTTTCTTGATTGTTGCAGACGTGGCCTCTAATGGAGTCGCAAGAACTGAATATTTTTCTTTTGTCTTTCAAACATACCAGTACTTTTTCGACATGTCGCACGTGTAGACCGACGCCATTCCTTGTGCGCTAATGGAGCCGTGCCCCAGCAAACTGTATGCCGTGCGCTTGCCCTTTTTTTTTTTTTTTTTTTTTTTTAATAAATCAGTTCTTGCCACCCCTCGATTAGAGGCCACGTTTGCAGCAATCAACCTTTGTAATCTGATCTTTTTTCTTTTCTTTTTCTTTTTCTTTGTTACCATCAGTAAGTATCCTTTTACAAAAAAAAAAAGAAAAACAAAACATAGAGGAGAGGAGCGAGGAGAGGAGAGGGGAGAGGAGAGGAGAGGAGTGGCCCGGAATGCCGTTAGTGGCCGTCGATCACCGTTTAATGCCCCGTTTCTTTTCTTCCGTTTTCAAAGCAAGAATCGTTTGTGTCAAGGTTCTGTCCCATAGATTATATATAGGTACGTATTGAGGAAGTGCCGTTAGCTGCCGTTGATCTATGGGACAGAAGTGCCGTTAACGGCCGTTGATCTATGGGACAGAAGTGCCGTTAGCGGCCGTTGATCACCGTTTAATGACCCTTTTGCTCTTCGTGCACGATACGAGTGAGGAGGCGGTGGTAATGTCGGTGCGCTTTCGGAGGCTTCAGAGGATCCACGTGTCCGCTTTTCGCTTGCCGACCAATGCTCTCTGTTGGCGTTTATATGTATTCGCGATCCCTATTGGTGGGCGAGACAGCGGCTGATTGAGCGGCCACTGCAGCGTGTTTTTTTTTTTTTTTTGAAGCTATACTCTTCTCTCAATTTCACCTCACACTACCTACCTACCACTACTACTAATTGGAGGCAGGTTGCCTAGGAGCGCTGTCTCATTGGCCGCCCACACGGACTACAGCCTTTAGGGCGAGATCCCACTGGCAAAGAGGATTGTAGCAAGTGTCTGAATGTGGACGTGTTTGTCTACAGGTGCAAAAATTTGTGATCGATCTACTTTCTGCATCTCTGTGTGGAACACGTCCAGATTCAGACTCTTAGCTACTGATCCGACAGTACTTCAAACGTAAGAGAACCTAAAAGAAACAGAAAAGTCGGAGCCGGACCGTGAGGCTCGTGAAACAAAAACGGGACCCCACAGTACCGCTGAAGAAGGAGGTATGACGACAGCACCGCCGCTTTTGTGTGCCCGCCCGTGGTTCCTGCGAATTCCAAGAAGTCGAAGAGGTCCACTGGGGGGCATCAAAGGGCCTCGTTCCACACCACTCCACTTCAATTTCAAGTGTGGCACTTGAGCTGCGTCACAGGGTAATCGTCATTAAAAAACACTTGAGCCTGGCACGGTTCGACGGTACACTCCACTCCACACTCGAAACAGGAGCGGGAAAGTGGCAGAGGCTGTTGGCGCGAGGGAAGGGGGGATGTAAAACAAAAAAAAGAAAAAACCGGGGGAACGTGCAGCGCCTACAACCGCCTCCTGGCTCTTGAAGTGCGGCTCAAGTGTGCCCGGAGAGGTGACTTGAAAAAATCACCTATTCGCCTGGGCGGCACTTGAGCCGCACTTTACGTTTTTGGTGGGCGCCGAGAGAGTGGGGAAGCCTAATCGCGATTAGGGAAGGTGAAACTCAAGTGCAGTGCAGTGTGGAACGAGGAATTTCTCAAGTATTTCTAAAGTGGAGTGGTGTGGAACGAGGCCCAAAGACATGGGCCCGGTGTGGCTTTTTGAAGGTTGTGCGGCCGGTACCGGGTGTGTGAACGGTAGGAAGTGCTGTTGGACCTGGACATCACAAAAAAAAGAAAGAAAAAAGAAAACGTTCTCTATCTTTTGCGTTGCAGAGACGGTGTGCGGCTCTTTTCCAAAAAGGTCCATTTTCTTGCGGATTCCATTCCGCGATGCGTGCCACGATACCCCAAACCCAAAATCCCTGTGACGGTGCCGGTGTCACCTGCGACCGTGGAAACAAGTCGCAGTTTGGGTGGGCACGTCGTAGTTTGGGTGTATCAGCCCTGTGGGGATTTTGTCAGAATCCAAAAGTAAAATAAGGAAGGAAAAAACAAAGAAACGAATCTCAAAGAAGGGAAAAAAAAAGGAACGTGAATTTGGCACTGAAATTAGGCGCTGATCCGACAATATGTGAAAAGAGAAAAAACAAGAAAGCCCCTTGGAAAAAGATGAACACGGGTAGTGCGGGGCGGAAAAGCAAACTGGGACCCCACACAGGTGGGTAGTGCGGGGCAGAAAAGCAAACTGGGACCCCACACAGATGGGTAGTGCGGGGCGGAAAAGCAAACTGGGACCCACACAGGTGGGTTCCGCAGGTCCCAAAGTACCATGCCGGATTTTTTTGGGCTTCGGAGATGGACGTTCCTGTGGTCCGCCATATGGCCTGGTCGTACAGTTCTCTGCTCCACGGACGGACATTGAAAAGGGCGACTCATGTTTGAGGCAGCTTTCTCGGTAGGGGTAGGGGCTCGACATTTCCATTTTGTGTAGCGCCGTTGGGCCGTTCGTCACAGCCGACGTGCCGTGTACACATGAACGCGTACACATGAACCGAAAAGGTACCCCTAACAAAGCGCGACGCCTGTGATTTCGGAAAGTGGTGGGATCCGCATTTCTCAATGAAATTGGCTAATGTACGCACTGTCGGATCGGATCAGAAGCTTAGGGCCCCGCTCCACTACTCTCGACATGCACAAAAGACAAAACTCATAACGGTGTATCTTTCGATGTTCTAGCGGAAGACTCACTCTCGTTTTGCACATTTCGAGAGTAGTGGAGTGAGACCCTTAGTTAGATACATTTGTCTGTGTGCAAGTGTGAGAGTACGCCCTTAACGAGGGCTGTTCAGTAGATCACGGGATATGCCCTGCCTCGCTGGCAGGGGAATCTAAGAAAAATGGAAAAAAAACAAAAGCAGAAAAAAACGACATCCAGAATCTAACTGCAAGTGGGACCATGCTCCTGAAGTTAAACCGAAGGTAGTCAGTACTGAAGGGCTCGAACAAAGAAAAGCCTGTGTGGAGGGATTCCTGTGTCCCCTTTTTTTTTTTTTTTTTTTTTTTTGTCTCTTCTCATTACCACAAGTGAAACTTGAGTGGTAATAAAATGAGCAGAGGTTTCTTGTATAAAAAAAAAAGAAGAATCATTCCCGCCGCACCATACATTCGACATCCTGATAGTGATCCTGTGCAATCATTTTTTTTTTTTCCTGTGCAGTTCCCCCCCCCCCCGGTGCAATCGTTTCTGCTGTCCGTTCAGCTCACCGACGAACATCCATCAGACAGGGCAGTCACTTCTGCTGGGGCCTCAGCCCACATGCACCGTGTAGTGCCTGAAAACTACACGGAGTGACAGCGGAGAGCGGGAAATGTACATCCGCAATATTGTCTGTGCCATGGTGCCACGCCATGTGTCAAGGTGGTCCCATCATTGTAAAAATCGTGCAGCAAGTGAGGGTGCGGTAGATCTTCGCAGGAGGCCGTATAGAGTGCTGCCTTTGATCTCCGCAGGCCAAAGAAAGGGCCGGCCCATGGAAAAACAAAAATCACCACACTCGGCCCAGAGGCATTTCCTGAGCAATGATTCGAACCGCAAGTAGGCGAGAATCAGACTGTAAGTCTCTGGAAAAAAAAAAACAAAAAAAAACATGAGCTTTTCTGCAACGGCGGATTTGAACTCTCGCCTTTGTGATCCCTCTTCGCTTTCGGCCTCCCTGCACTACTCTTCACATGCAGAGAAGACAAAACAAGGCAGTGTATCTGTTCATGTTCCAGCGGAAGAGTCAGTATCGTTTTGC